CCCACCGTGAAATGCCAGAGAATTCAGACCCGGTTTCTTACGGTGATAATTTTAAAGCAGTATAGAAGTTGCGACTGAAAACGTTTTTTACGGGGTTCGCTGCATAAGAGCACAACACTCTGGGACTCGAGGTTCACACGCTCGTCATACGTCTTAGTGAACTAACTGCCGCTTCATTTTCAAGTTGATTCATTTCGTCGACCAGTATAAGGTTCTTTCGATAGCCGGCCGTGTGCGGTGTACACCGGCCAATAACTTTACTATACGAATAAATAAATATATATAAACATGTATAAATATGTACAAGTGTATATAAGTACATATATTAGCATATAGAAATATGTGTATAAACGTATATAAATATATACTAATATATAAATGTAATACAAATACGTACAAATACATATAAATGCATATAAATGTGTGCAAACAAATATATATATGTATGTATATAAATACATATAAGCATATATAAATATATGTAAATGTACATAAATAAATATAGGCCAATGAAAGATACAAAAAAACGCGAGCGAGGAAAGCAAATTTGATAACTTTGTTTTGAATTCACATACAAAATCGTGAACATTAAATCTGTTAGCCGGCCTGACCACGCCTCGGCCTTTGTTGATTTCGGGTAGGAATTTAACCAGTACTACTGCTTGAAAACGAGCAGTGTTATTTCGTTATATGATAAAAGGATATTGCATCGAATAACCCAAAATTCTGCTCCCTGACTTACTGTCTAAATTTCGGCCGGTATTAAAATAAAGTAAGCCAAATAAACTGAATTTTGTTGCCCTAATCCATACCGTAGTGCAAAATTTGTCAATAATTCGGAAGTAAGTTGGGCCCAGTACATGAAACTTTGGTAGTTTCCAGACATCAGATTGATCAAAAGTGGGTATTTCGCTTCCTTCACCTACTGACATATCCGTTCAGCATGCAACAACGCGTTTCCAAGATCGAATCGCAAGAACGTCTGATCACTGCAGCCATTTGACGCGTCCGCCGCTGATCTCAGGTAAGTGTCAGAAATGAACTGCAAATCACAATTCCTAAAAAACACACTGTTCGCATAAATTTCAAAACAAATCAATCAGCTGCTTGCACGTACTGCTTAGCGCAATCGTTTTCTATTTTAGGTGTAAAGTATTTTTCTTTTAGGGCAACTGTTTGACTTTCTAAACTATCCATCCACCCATTCAGCTCATTCGTAACACCTGTCTGTCGGCTTCTGTAATCTTTAATCGGTCTGTTCTTATGCGTATTCCTACTCAACAGTTACCGGGTTGAATACGGAATGAGGGAAAATTGGCCTGCGCATGGAGTGCCGGTGCGTATATGCGTTTTTTTTTTTTTCTGAGTTCCCCAGCAATTTTTTAATACTAATGGACCTACAGTGGGTCTCCTTGGTCTGGCTAAACGCTGATTTCTAGTCGCTGACGTCTAAGCTGGGGTAGGTGCTGCTTTCATGCCTGACCTGTCTAGTTCCCACGTTGGCAATTTTCCCAGCACAAAGTTTCACATGTGTGCACTTGAGAACTGCGAACACCTGCGGACTGAATTTCAAAACTTTAAGTTCCACGTGGACGAGGAACATCCCCTTAAAATTCCAGCTTTTTAGCTTTTCCGGTTTCCGAATTGGCAATTTTTCCGCTAAAGCTTTCACGTGCCCTTACTTGAGTATCATATGGATGTGAGCGAGCGTTTTGAGGGCAGGGGCCTATATATAGGTGAAGCATAAGTCGTCAAAGTTTCAGCCTTGTAACTTTTATAGGTCTCAAGATGGAAATTCAGTACTGACGCACACGCAGACATACAGACAAACACACACACAGACAACCCCTCGACAGTATGCGTTCTTGCGCTGAACAGATGCAAAAAAACGCGTAAAAAGACACACACAGCTGAAATTTGCTCTATTCGACTTTGATATTCTTAATGACGACCTTTAACAATGTCGTACTCTTTTGTCCCTGCCATTGCTTATGTCATGACCAATTTATTCGCCTTAACTGGAAGCCAATGCTTCACTTTTTTGACTTTATATAAATTGTTCAAGTGACTTTTAGCATTCTGATGACTAAATTCCATGTGTTTCTAAACGTAATTCTGTGGCAAGAATTCTAATGTCTCTTTCTGTGTTTTGTGCTGCAACGGTTGAACAAAACGCATACGGTCGAGAAATGTGCGTGCATGTATGTGTTTGTGTATGTGTGGTCTCTGTGGTTATGCGTTTGTGCGTGTGTGTATTCCGAGTGCATTTTATTTGAAAGTTTCAACTCGAGGACCAGAGAAGCTAGGAAGCTAAAATTTTAAGAGAGGGCTCCCTACCGCGTGCGATCTCGTACACTCAAATTCAGAATCTGCGCGTCTAGACCTCATGCACGGTCACTTTAAAGCTTTGGCGACTAAATTAATAACTCCTGAAGCACAGAAAGTAGGAAGCTGAAATTTTAAGAGGATTACCTTGTTTGCGTGTAACACCGCAAACTCAGTTTAGCTGCCCCGTATGCCAAAATCTTACGTAAAGGCACTTGAAATTTTTGGCGTCTAAATCAGTAGCTCGGGAATCAAAGTTTTAGCACCAAAATTAACATAACGCATCAGACAGTAAAGCAATGGACACTTTTGATAGCACGGTTCCCTTGAACAGAGCTGCAAAAGCATCAACAGGACAGGGCTGCAAAGCGTCGGTAGGGTTGGACTGCACAACCGTTTGCTGGACAGGGTTGCAGAGAAAGCATGATCACACCAGCTAGCCTGGTGCGCACCGCTATTTATTTCATTTGTGGTTGGCGAGTTTGAGCAAAACAGTCAAAAACCTGAAATATTTTTTAAAGAACTTCTTCGAGGGTCGTTGTTTTCAAACAAAATTTGTCGAATTTGAACCCGAGGGCGACAAAGTTAGGAACAAAAAATGTAAAGGTACAGATATGTTAATATGAATACCTTGAATTCAGTTGCAGCTTACGCCTGTCGTATAATTTCAAACTGATTTTATAGCTCTGCAATGATTATTTATACAAGTTTAAATTCTGAAAAAATTTAATTCAGCAAGCTATTTAAGTAAAAATACAAAATCAGCATTCAGATTTTATTGTGTGCAAAACCGTGACTGCAAATTCGTATTTAGGTTGATGGCAAAAATTCCTAATAGAGTTGAAAACAACTCTGAAATTATGACGGTTCGTTGCAAAAAACAAGCTACAGGAGCACCACCGTAGTACCATTTACAAGCATTTGCGCAACCATCTGTTGTGTATTTACAGTCGCTGATCGCATAACTGCATGACCGTTCCAGTTTTTTCGTTCACGTCGCCATTTTCTGAAATATGTTGGTATTATGACAGTAATTGTGCAAAAATTTTCCTAAAACAAAATGTACAAAATTCCTAAACAGTAATGATAAAATAAATTTGCCGAAGCAACCAAAGATGTTAAAGACAATGGCAGCTCTCCAAACAACAGATCAATCAAAACACTTAAAATAACAATTAACCAAAACTACATAAACTTCGCTAACTACTAGCTTGAA